GGTTCAACTTCTAAGGTTTCTGGCTGATTAGGTCGATCATATAGTTCTATAATATACTTTTCCCAAATTTTCAGCACTTGCCTCTGATCTACTATTCTATTCCCCTGGGAGTCTTCGATGCCAACATTTTGAATCCCATGATTCTCTTTCCATCCTAGTTCTTTTGTCTTCATGTACATCAAATCATAACGTCCTGTCCTTTGAAATTCCATAATCTCATTACATATCTTCTCAAGATATTCCTTTTTGGCCCTGTCCGTGGCTCTTTTCAATTCATTCCTCAGTCTCCTGTATTTCATCCTGCCTTCTTCATTGTTGACATTCTTCCATTTCCTTCGCTCCTCCATTTTACTCATCATCTCCTGTGTAACCCATGGTTTTCTTGCTATCTTCTCAACTTTACCAACCAAATCACTGATGGTATCTAACATGCATTCTTTTATATTGTTCCACTGCGCTTCAGCATTTCCGTTTTCACCTTCAATTGCACCGAGTTTCTCTTCTAGGGCCTCTTGCACGCTTTGTCTTTGAGCATATAACTTCTCCAAATCCCATCTGGGTCTGCGCTTTCGAAATCTTATAATTTTCTTCACCTTGGTTCGGAACTTGGCAACCAGTAAGTTGTGGTCAGAGTCAATATCTGCCCCAGGATGAGTCTTCACATCCTTCACACTATTTCTGAATCGATGTTTCACAAGGATGTAGTCCAGCTGATGCCTCCTCCAATCCCCAGGTGCCTTCCATGTGTAAATTCTTCTCTTTGGCTTCTTGAACCAAGTGTTGGTGACAATCAGTCCATTTCTTTCACAAAAGTCAATAGGCATTTGACCCCTGTGATTCCATCTTCCTAGTCCATACTGTCCAAAAATATAAAAATTGGAATATACAACATTATAATTTTGCCTGTGGTTTTGTATGGGCATGAAACTTGGTCTCTGATAATAAAGGAGGAACATAGACTGAGGGCGTTTGAGAACAGGATGCTAAGAAGAATATTTGGAACGAAGAGTGATGAAGTGACAGGTTGGAGAAACCTGCATAATGAGGAGCTTCATAACTTGTACTCTTCTTCAAGTATAATTAGATTGATCAAGTCAAGGAAGATGAGATGGGCAGGGCATGTAGTACGAAAGGGGGAGACGAGGAATGCACATAGGATATTGGTGGGAAACCCAGAAGGAAAGAGACACCTGGGAAGAACAAGGCATTGGTGGGTGGACAATATTAAAATGGGTTTAAAGAGATAGCATGTGATGTTATGGATTAGACTGATCTGGCTCAGGATAGGGACCAGTGGAGGGCTATTTTGAACGCGGTAATGAACTTTCGGGTTCCGTAAAATTCTTAGAAGTTCCTGAGTAGCTGAACAATTGGCGGCTTCTCAAGAGGGGCTCAGCTCCATGAGTGGGTGAGCCGTAACACTAAACCCAGATCCGTACCAACTAGGGGAGTATCATTTACGTGTGAAGGTCAAATTATCCCTCTAATTAATTACCTAACTAAGCACTGTGCTATGAAGGCGTATGGAGGAGTCGATGTACAGCTGCTGCATTCTTGACCTCGGCACTAGATGGAGATGAATGGTCAGCTTCACACCGCTTTACCCCCAGATCCAGGCCCCCAGATGTCTTCAATGCCATTTAAAGCGTAGTGCTTAATTAGTTAAGCACAGAGACAATTTTACCAAACCGTACCCATTGGATAGGACGCTTAGTTGTTCCCAGGGGTCCCAGAGCTTGCCTGGACTCTGTGGCGAAGAGAAAGATATCTCTGCCCTTGCCAGGGTTCCAGTCCATGGCCTAGTAGGAATACTGACAGAACTATCCCGGTTCCTACTTGTGAACCGTGATATCAGGCACTCTGTGGTTATCTATTCCACCGTTAGTGAACAGCATTTAGTACTTTAGTAACTGAATGCGGTCAATTTGTAAATGCGTAACCTCCGAAATGTGAACGATAGAATTACAAATCAGGAAGAATACTGGAATATTTGATAGTCAGCTCGATTAAGCCATTATAAACCGTGTAAAAATTAGAAGAAAGGTAACTGCTTTATCATCCTTTGTGTTATAAGGCAAGCTGAGTGTATAATCAGTGTAGAGTCTTAATACTGTCATGTAATGTTATGTTCTGGGAACGTCTTCAGAGTGATGCCATTCAGTCTGCTTTTAACAGAAACTGGATATAAGTTCTGCTGTTTAAGATTTGATGTAGTTCGCCATCATAAAATTAGTCAAATACAATAGAAATGAAGTATATCTTCTTGGGTTGTTGCACTGTTTTGGTTGTGGGTGATGGTGACGTTTCGGAGGTACATGCTGCAACCATCATCAGTTCGCAGTGTGTAGGGTGGCGAGTTGTTGTGTATATATATATATATATATATCATTCTGTTTTGAAGAGGAATGGGGGAGGGTGATAGACTGGGGATTGGTGCTTCATTTAGGGTAGTCCTCACTCTCTCCCCTCCCTCTGCCTGTTCCTTTTCAAAACAATGCTGTATATACACAACACCTCACCAACCTGCAAACTGAGACCCTGATTGATGACAGCATGTACCTGCAAAATCTTAGCAACATCACCCACAACCACGGGGTGCAACAACCCAGGAACAGAAGAAAATTTGTGTTGTGTACGTTAGATTAAATCACTGTAACACCTTGGTTTTGCAGTTATTCAGTGTATGAAATTTTATTATTGACTAAGTCAGCATAGTGATGGGATACATGGTGGACAACTAGGATTTGATTCCTGGCAGGTCAAGAGATTTTTCTCTTCTCCACAGTGTCTCGATGGCTCTGGTGCTTGCCCTGCCTCTCATCCAGGGCGTACCTAGGGCTCTTTCCTTCGGAGGGGGCCATGGCTTGAAGCGGCCCACTTCCATCTGTTACAGAGGTTAAGAATGGTGGAGCTCCCCACTCCCCATACATCTTCAGTGCATGGTGCTTAATTAAACACAGGGACAGCTTTACCATTTAATGTTACAAGTATTCATTGTGTGTATGATAGGAAGTTGGTGGATCTGAGCAAGAGGATTGTTTTTTAATACTGTTTTATTTTCAACGTAAGTTTGTAAGCAAAGCTACATTCAAGACATGAAGTGTTATAGTTCCAAGAAGTTCTCTGAATTGGCTTAGGCTTCAGGAGATGTATACATAATATAAAACATTACTCCCTAATCTATTTTTTACCTAAGCAGTACACATTTTACAGTGTGGTGAATATGTAGCAAGATAAATTGAAATAATGCAGTTGTTTAAGGACTTTTGCATGTAGGACCCAAGGCATCTCCTATGTCTCTGCAAGGATGCTTAGTTATTAAATGTGGCTGGGGAAGGACCCCTGAAACCTGCAGCTTTCCTACAAGGTTGTCATTATTCTAGACGGTTTGAAATTACATGTTTTGCCATATAACCAAGGCATTATTTTGAGAATTTCCAGCTCTGGTCACCTTATGCAGTAAATTATTGCCACATGACAAAAGAAGAGCTGACATAAATCATCATTTGCACTATAAAAAACCTGTTAGAAACAGTGTTGGATGTAATATAGTTTGCTTTATGCGCTATAAAGAAGTTAGACATACCAGAGAGCCATACCAGAGAGAGAAGAATGGAGAAAACTGGAGACATGAAAGGATTTCATATGCACATAAGGTACCATTAAATTGGGTACTGCATTTAGAACATTAAAATTGTATTCAAAATGTTGAACTGTTGGTAACTGCTCCCCACAGTTAAATCAGTTAAGTTAAGGTAAGGTAAAGTGAAGTTGTTCCTGTGCTTAATTAAGCCCTACTCCATGGAAACATATGGGGAATGAAAGTATAGCTCCACCATGCTTGACCTCGGCACTAGATGGAGGTGAGTGGTCAGTTTGAGGCCCTGGCTGCTTTACTTCTGGTGGGAGAGCCAATGTACCCATTGAATAGGAGGCTGGGTGAGCTCCAGAGTCAGTCTGGACACCGTGAAGAAGAGAAAACATCTTGCACTAACTGGGAATGAAACCCTGGCTGTTCATCATGTAGCTCAGTACTGTACCAACTGAGCTCTTCCAGCTCTTTTCCAATATAATGTACAGCAGCAAATTCCAGTATCATTCAGTAATGTGCATTTGTTCATTCGATTATATAAATATATTTTGCCGGATTATATTAGTTGCTCATTAGCAGAAATCCCAATAATGAGTCAGTCAGATGAGTTGGACTCTGATATACCAGACCGTGACACATGCCAGAAGTTGACAGAGCAGTTTGCAGAGGTAACAGGAACGGATGAGGCATGTGCTCAGTTCTATCTTCAGGACAGAAAGTGGGACCTTGAGGTAAGAATGATGTAGTGTTGTAATGCATTAGCATTTTGATGTAATGTGATGTTGGACTTTCACATTAGCAGGTTCACTTTTTTTATTTAAAAAATATTGCTTGGAATATTTATATATTTAAATATTAGAATATAATTTGTTGAGAAAGTTATGCAATATTTGTTTTCATAGGTAGCATTACAAGCCCAAATTCAAGTAGAATCAAGTGTACATCATGTCTTATCAGGGTATGGAACATAATCATAGAATAAATACTATCATGTGTTAATGACTAGATATAGGGTTTGGATTGATAATTGGATTTGTTAAACACAAAACATAACTAAGTAATTATAACACTCTACATCTCACAACAGCACATGCTAAGCCTCAGTCTATTATAGTCTTTGCTGGTCATTGCTTGGTAGTGGTTCTCAACAGCGGAGTTTCTGCTCTTGTGCCTACGTTGATGCTGGCTGGGTGCCATCTCACGACTAACTTATGGCTGCCACTAATTCGTGATGGTGACTGACTGACAGCTTGGCTGATGGCCTCATTGTATAGCCTTAGCATGGACCACATAGAAAACAGGGCATCCAAGAGTCTCATCTACCATTGTGTGCGCATCCATTGCCGCTGATACGTGTTTATCAAGCCGTTACCTAGCAGTGGACTCTTTCTTCTGGCGCCATTATTCTGGCTTTCAGATGTCATGTCTCAGTATTCTGAATATAGCGAGGTACTTTCTATTGACAGTAACAAATCTGTATTATATTCATGGTGAAATTACCTCCCCTGCATTCATCTATCAGACCATGACGTCCTTGTTTCCTGCATTTGTGTCTATTTCCTCATGTCATCCTTCTCATTTTAAGACCTGTTTGTGGATGTGGCAAGTTAAGAGGGACACGTAAGGACTTTTGATCCTGTTCTCTCAAACTGATCAGAATTATGAAAATAATTATTGTTTCACATTCTGATGAGTATTATATTCTGTCAACAGAACAAAATACAGAAAATAATACAGGTTGTCTAATATATTGCCTGAGATCAGTGGCAGGTGTTAACAGTGGAAGATCAAAAGGGAATTATATTGGAAGGAAATCACAAATTATTAATATTAAAAAGCATTTATTCCTTCAGGTATGACTAGTTTACTGTTGATACACAAATTATCTTGTATGTTTCTGCCTATCTTGGCCATCATCAGAATCAGAGGTTGAAATACTGTAAATATTGACAATATATACATCTATATAAGGATCTCGTATCTTAAAATTATAGTCAAAGATATAGTTAATTAGAAGTTAATTACATCGAGATCTGTTACTGATGGTTTGATTAAATACGTATGTTCCAGTTGTGAGGACTGTGTATCTGCAAATGTAATGTAGGAATGCATTAGATCATGTATTGATAGAATTGTTTAATTATATAAATATGAATGTAAGGAATATATACGAAGTATTACATTTAAGAAGAAGGATTTAGGATACACTGAACACATATTAAGAAACTTGCATTGCCTTGGACAAAATAGAATTATGAATATGAAAGGAAAATTTTACATTTGTGTATATAAACAGTACTACAGATTGATAAACGAACATACAAAGACAATCATAAGATCATTCTTTTTGACACAGCCGTGACACCCTCTTAACCTGTTACACTGTATACTAGTGAAATGCTACATTTGGAGCATTGCTTTGTATGGGGCTGAAACTTGGACACTTAGGGCAGTCGATCAGAAACATCTGGAAAGCTTCAAAATGTGGTCTTGGAGAAGGATGGAGAAGATCAGTTGGACTGATTATGTGAGAAATGAAGAAGTGTTATTTAGAGTCAGTGAGCAGAGAAATATCCTACACGAAATAAGAAAACGGAAGGCTAATTGGATTGGTCATATCTTACACGGTAACTGCCTTCTAAAAGAAGTTATTGAAGGAAAGATAGAGGGGTGGAGAGAAGTGACCAGAAGACGAGGAAGAAGACATAAGAAGATGCTGGATGACCTCGGGGACAGAAGAGGATATTCTCATTTGAAGGAGAAAGCTGTAGATCGCATTAAGTGGAGGAACTGTTTCGGAAGAGACTATGACATATTACTGATGAATGAATGAATACTGTATTACTTCAAATATAAGGTGCACATTTTACACATTTTCTCCTGTTGAAAAATAGAGGTGTCTTAAATTTGAGTAATGTGCACTTTTCTAATTTATTCCTAAAACCCACGTTCAAAAACTTGATGTGTCTTAAATTTGAGGGCATTCTATATTCAAACTGATATGATATGTAGGGCCACAGATCAATAGCACTCTCCACACAACAAACTGCATCACCACATAAGCATATGCATTTCCATTTCCATTTCATTTGTTCACCTTCCATAAATCCTGTCGAGAGTACATTCTCATGCGGATGTGGAGATCGTCCTAGTTACAGTCGTCATCCAACAGCAAACACATTTGTATAAAATACTGATAAACATATACAATATAGTAAATTAGTTAATTTTAGTAGTAAAAGTAATGGCAAATCTTATACCATTTGTACAGTTTTATACAAGTCTGTTAATTAAAAAATTCAATAGTTAAAACACAATGTAATTAATGAGTTTTGTATAACATACATTAATTATATAATAAATTGAAATAAAGACTAGTATACAGTAATACAAAGATTGTGTATATCTAAAATAAGCATCTAAAACCCAGAACACAGACTGACAATCTTGACTTCTTTTAATTGTAAAGCAAGACAACTACATGCATCTTAAAAAGATTTATAACCAAAATATTCCTGTAAAGAATAAAAAGAATGTAAATATAAAAATTGTTTTAATTGTACCTCAAAACTCTTAGTGTCACTTGATATATCCTTAATCTGTTGTGGTAGATTACTATAGACCTTTGTTCCTAAACAGTAAACTCCCTTTTGGTATTTACTCAAATTTACAAGAGGCTGATGGAGATTATTTTGCTGTTTGGTATTTATTCTGTGAATCTCTGAATTTACTATGAATTTGTTTCTGTTTTTTATCACAAAGATAATAAGAGATAGTATGTACTGAGATGCCAGAGGTAAGATTTCTAATTCTCTAAATAAGTTCCTGCATGAATCCCTCCTTCTGCATCCCAACATAATTCTAATGATATTCTTTTTGCATTCTAAAAATGTTTATACTTTGGGGTGAGTTACCCCAAAAGGGTAAACCATAATTTATAATAGAATTAAAATAAGAGTGAAAAACCCTTTTTAAGGTATTTATGGACGTGTATGGTTTAAGTGATCTTATTATGTAGCAGACTGCACTTAGTTTAGAACTAATATACTCAATGTGGTATTTCCAGCTCATTGTGTCATCAGTGAATATTCCAAGAAATTTAATATTGGATATTAATGCATCTTATAGGTATGCATTTTCTTCATATTTACATAATTACATAATTAAATCAGTACTTGATCTGATGCAGTCCTATATTATATATGCAGATACAAACACACCACTCCTTACAACTGGGACATATTTAATTAAACCACTAATAATAAATCTTGATGTAATTAACTTTTAATTAGGTTTTTAATTTCTTTTTCTTTTTGTTGGGTGAGACTGAGTCCACGTGGTATATCGACCACTGTTTTGGCCTATTGTACCAGTCTCGGATTACAGATGATGATGAGTGTGGAGCAGTTGGTGGGATGAGAATTGGCATGGGAAACTGAAGTACTTGGAGAAAACCTGCCCCAACGCTGCCTTGTCCACCGCAGATCCCACATGACCTGACTTGGGATCAAACCTGGGCATCCACGGTGGGAAGCCGGTGACTAACCACCTGAGCTATGGCATGGCCAACTTTTAATGAACTAAAACACATTTATCTTTACTATAATTTTAAGATACGAGATCCTTATGTAGACATACTGCCATTGTTTACAGGGGTTCGAATTATTGTTGATTAAACCTCTGATGATGGCCAAGACAAGCCGAATCATAAGGTAATTTGTGTGTTCACAATGAGCTAGTCACATCTGAAGGAGGAAATACTTTATACGTTATGACGGATCAAGTTGCATATAGTTAAGATATTACAGAGAGAATTTTGAGCTCTAGAAATAAATGATAAGAATGTGGCGAAAGGATAGCAGAAATATATATTCAGGTGAGTGTTTTGAATTATGATCTGTGAAGGAAGAAGGAAGATATTAATTGTAAATAATAGAGACCTATACAGCTCAAACTATGAGACCCACAATCTTAATACTAGACATACCACAAATTTGCACCTTCCCACATCACGCCTAACAATCTTTCAGAAAAGACCATATTATTTTGGTATTAAGGCTTATAACCACCTGCCATCCAGAATCAAGAGTATGAGTAATGATGTGAAACTATTTAAACCGAGGCTAAAAAGATTTTTTCTTTCAAATTCTTTTTATTCCTTAGAGGAATACTTTAACCATGTATGTAATTAAAATTGGTAATTGTACCCCTGATATGTTATAATTTTATATCATTACCTAAGTATTTTGTATCAATTATTGTTTTATAATTTTGATCATTTTATGCATTGTACATTAATATAAATCTTTTAACTGTCTTAATGACAAAAGTATGTATGTAGTTTTTGTATTTGCGTATTTTAATCTATTAGCTTGCGACAAAATCCATATCCACTGGTCAGCTGTACCATAAGGATTAACGGAATGTATAAATGTAAATAAATAAATAAATAAATAAATAAATCATGGGAAAACGCTAAAGCCCTGGACTGAGCGAAGGAGATTATGAGGACATGGGGCCCAATCTGTGAAGGTCATGGTGGCAAAGGCCATGCCTTCTCCCTGGTTTGTTACATTATGGTATGTGAGTTGAAGAAGTAAGGTAATTTTCTGTTGTCTGTGTTTTCTTCATTTATGCTTCATGTTCCCTCTATTGTCCTGGTTAACAGAAAGTATAATGTGTCGCTTTCAATCTTTCTGAGTGACTTGTTTGTTTCTTCACTCCTGGTGATGTATTTATATTTTATTTTTGTTTTCAGAGGTCAGTAAATGCATTCTTTGAAGCTACTCAAAAAGGTGGAGTGAGTGCTTTGACTGATGGAGATGAAGGAGAATTAGTCGTGAATGTCAAGTGAGTGAGTCAGTGTTGCCACACTGAATATGTACAAGCTAGCATGCTGAATTGGCGGCCTGTGTCTTATAAAACATTTCAAGCCAGCATCATCTCACATTGTGTGCCCTGACTTCATGACTGAGGCTGTAGTCACTCAGTCAAGGTAGTATCACCATTATGACTCGCGTGGAAGAAGAGCCGCTACAAAAGAATTAGTTTAGGTTTCCTTTATAAGACTGACTGAGCGACTGCCGCTTGTCGGCGAAATTAGTGCCAACTTTAGTGGATAGAGGGTGTCGCGCGGTCAGTGCAATAAATCCCCATGGCCATTAATTTCAGTTTTCTAGACCAGAGCCGCTATTTCCTTGAAATAGCTCCTCAATTATCCTCACCAGGCTGACTGGACCCTGTTCTCAAAGAATCTGGTAGTGCCAGAATCGAACCCAGACCTCTGGATCTGTAGCCAGGAACTCTCTCCACTAGTTCTCTTGCGAGCTAAAACCATAGAGTTTGTTTTTGTTTGTAACCTTTATGTGTGTTTATTTTTAAGTTCAGACTTGGATTGCTATTTGATATGTTGAGTCATGCATAACCAGTGTAGTAGTCACTGATATTCCTTCTTATTCATTTCTGAATGCACTGTGCCAACACCAAATGCTGTATCCTAATTGAAATGGCCAAAGGAATAAGGCTGTTTGAAATCCTGAAGTGGTTGTTGATCTTTCGCTATGTTTTTTTATTTTTATTTTTTTAGAACTAATGTATTTCCATGAAGATGTAAGCCTTGGCCGCTCCATAGATCAAGCGGTTAGTCACTGGCTTCCTACTGCGGCAGCCCAAGTCTGGGTCTGGTCAAGTGGGATTTGTGGTGGACAAAGTGGCGCTGGGGCAGGTTTTCTCCGAGTACTTCGGTGTCCCCTGCCAGTGTTCATTCCACCAATTGCTCCACAATCACCCTCACCTATCATCTGGGGCTGGTAGAATAGGCCAGAAGTGGCCGCAGTACATGGGACTTAGTCCCACCCCACTAGCAATAAAAAAAGATTTAAGCCTTTATGGAGGATCTACGGTTAAATTTTTTGATGGTAATCGCATAAATATTTCATAGAACTTATGCAGTACGTTCTTCAGTTACAAAAATGTGTAGATACACAAGTACATTATTGTCTTTGTTTTGTTTGTTGCTGCTGCTGTTGCTGTAACAACAACAACAACAACAGTTTAGGTACTTCAGTTCCTATGGTCATTGGTACTGAATATAGTACATTATAATATGGTATGTTATGATGAATTTTTAGGGTACTTCCTTTTTTATTTTTAACTATGCATGTAAATAAACATATATGTCAAAAAATACTTTTCATTTAATAATTGTTGGACTTACATGGTTTTCAGCTTACACAGAAACCTTCAGAACAAATGAACTATGTAAGTTGAGAAATTACTATATTTGATACTGTTACTCATTTCGCAGCAAAGATATGGTGAATGCATTGGGCCTTGGTCAGGTTACCAGTGAGCCTCCTTCAAAGTTCAGTTTTGTTTCATGGAATCTCGATGGACTAGACGAACGTAACTTAAAGCGAAGGACAAAGGCTGTGTGCAAAATCATCTACATGTGAGTGTTTACTTGGTATCATTTTATGATCACATGGATAGTATTATGTTCGATGGTATATCATAATGCTCTGTAGGAGGGCGAATTAAATGGCTACTTCTCCATTGTGCCTTGCTGGGACTGATGTTTACCTTTGTATATGCAGGTCCATGTATTTTTGCAGTACAAGTGCAGTAGCATAGATGAACCATTTGGCTGCCTGGATCAGTCATTTTACAGACTTGTTTTTAATGATAATTTATTACTGTTGCACTTTTGTTAATGTCATAATGAAGAATGTTATGCAACAATAATAAATGAAACCATTTTTTTTTAAGATTTTAAATTGGGGGGGGGGGCAGATTCTTGTTGCCCAGAGTTGCATTTAGTCTTCTGTTGTGATTGTAAACCTTTTTAAGGGACAGGTTTAAGTAAATGTTTTGTACTGTTACAAGCCGGAAGGTCGTGGGTTCAAGTCCCGATGAGGTCATTGGACTTTTTCAGTTGACCTAATCCTTCTGGCCGCCCTATGGTCGACTCAGCCTCTAACAGAAGTGAGTACCAGGAATGAATTAAATAATTTTCCTGTGGAGTGGAGCGTGGCTGGCGCGTAAGGCTGACAACCTTACCGCCATCTTTGAGCCGATTGTCTAGATAATGTGGGACCCTCAACATCTCTCAACCCTATGGGTCTTCACGGTCTGTTACAGGGATAGCTTTACTTTTTTTGTACTGTTCACCATATTACTCTTCTTAAATCAGGATTTGTAGATCGTGATGAAACTTATCACTTATCTGATTTGTATTGTCATGTGTTAGTGACTAGACATGGGTTTTTGATTGATAATTTGATTTATTGAACACTTGTAACCCATAACTACAAATAATTATAATACCACTACTAATCTACATACTTTACCAATCACTACAGCACATGATAAGTCTCAGTCTGTCATAAGTTTCACTATTGTCTGATGACTGCGAGTTTTGCAGTGCAGTCCCATAATGCCTAGGAATAAACTGCACATAAAACACTGCCTCCAAGAATCTCTTGCTGTTGCATGACATGTTAAGCGGTTGTTGCCCAGCAGTGGCCTGGATATTGTTGATGCAGCAGTATGTGTATATTGGTTGCCATGGAAATGTATTTACTGGCCGTTGTATAGCAATGGACGACTTTTTGGGCCTGCTGTTCTGGCTTTCAACCATCATAGCACAGTGTCATGAATTTGAGAAAAAAATACATTTAACCATCGAAAATTTAATTTCAGCTGACCTCAGGAGTTATGTAAAACCATAATTAAGAAATCTCACTTATTTCAGAGAGATGTGTAGTATTATGGAGTGTTTTATTTGATGAAATAGGGAGCATCCAGATGTTATATTTTTCCAAGAGATGATCCCAGAAACATTCTCCTATATTGAAGGAAAGCTGCCAGAGTACATGTGCATTGCTGGTAGCACAGAAGGCTACTTCACTGCAACATTGCTCCGAAGGTTTACCGTGTATTACGATTCTCACAGAATCACAGAGCATAGTGGTTCACTTATGATGAGAAATCTGCTTACTGTTGAGGTAATGTTATTCATGAATTTGTTGGCAAGTGAACATTTCATTGTTTAGTGCATAGGCATTTTCATTGAATACTACGGTGTAATGTTGGTACTTGCGTTTTATATATGAGAGGTCGTACATTAAATTCTGACCCGGGAATGCTAATTGTGACTAGTACATTTTGTGGTTTTTGTTAGTTCCTTGGAGAAAATGCACGTTGAAATGGTGCCTTAAAATAGGTCATCTTCCAGACATTATTTCATTCAGTTCGCACCACAACCCTTTTGACATATCCTCTGACCTCTGACTTCATCAGTTATAAATTCAGAAACAGTTTTCTCTTCTCTTCATATTGCAGCCACCCATGGAAATTGAGAAAATATGAAAATGGTAGGATTTTATTGTAACATAAAGCAACTTACAACCAATGATTTTTTGAGATAATAAGAGAAGTTCATTTTTCCAATGTGAGGGTTTAATTGCCAAGAATTCTTGTATGTCTTTGTTTAAGGGAGGTGAAGAAGCTTAATGAATTGGTATAAAATTGGCATGTGAAATTGATGTATATTTCAGGCACATATTGGCTCATTGAAACTTCAGCTTGTCAACACACACCTTGAGAGTACCAGGGATCACTCAGCTGAGCGAATAAAGCAATTGAAAGATTCATTCAAAATTGCACAAGATTTTCCAGAGGACTACACAGTACTTCTGGCTGGGGACATGAATCTCAGAGACAAAGAGGTGAAGAATGATGCAACTAGATTGTGCCTAATTCTGACCCAGAGTTGTAATTAAATCTTTAGGATAGGAACTGTATTTCTTGCATACCTGATCATCTTTTAGTACTTTTCTGTAATGACTGTGTTAACTGAAACTAAGAGGTATTTTTATGTATGACTACAGAAGAATGTTGAAATCAGTGGTAAACTGAAAATAATACAGGAATCTGATTCCAGAGGAAGCCATTCCTTATTAGTAGAAACACAGATGCAACTTAGAATAGAACTAGTAAAAGTGAGAGGTTTATTATAATAAAGGGTGATTTGAGTCATGTATATTTAATCTATAACAACACTGTTGCTGTTCAGAAACAACTTAAGGCATCACATCATTAATGAAGGAAATGCCACTAAATATCCCTACAATTGATTGTGTACATTGCATTAATAAAGTAATTATTTCTTGAGGAAGTAAGTTCCTGGCAGTCTTGGAAGGACAGATCATGTGCACCAAAACTACACACCACCTCAGTATTTCCAAAAATTCCTGCAGTGTTTCCTTTCCCATCCAATGGAAAATACACATATCTTTTATCTTACAATGTTTTGTTTTTAATTTTTTTTACATGCATATAACTGTTTTTAATTTTAAACTTCATTGAGTATATGATATTGGATCCTACCTAATTCAACTGACAAATTTATACTAGCAATGTAGTTTTTATATGTAATACATTGTCATTTGTATAGTCCTCACAGATCACCTGATGACTGCCTATCTGGGCCAAAACATGTGAGTGGAATAATCACAACATATGTTTGTGTGACAGTAAGCCCTCCATTTTTATTTGATTTTATTTTACAGCTGGAGCTTGCAGGGGGCATTCCGCCAGGCATTGAAGACCTGTGGATCTCGTGTGGTTCACGTAAAGAATGTCAGTACACGTGGGATATGGTACGGAATTGCAACAAGGAATTGCCTGGCAAGTTCAAACCTCGTTGCCGATTTGACAGAGCATACATACGACATTCACATCCAAAAAGGGTTGTGCCGGCTCATTTTGGTTTGGTTGGGATAGAGAAAGTTACCAGTACGCAGTGTTTCCCAAGTGACCATTGGGGTCTGCACATACATTTCAAGATTGAGAAACCATGAGACTTTAAAGGTAAATGTTAATGTACAGTACCAGTACACTTGTGTTTTCTATTCATGTCCCATTGCATCTTACGGAGTTACAGCACCTGGAGTTTGAAAACATTTTTTACTTTAACATATTTCTGCTTTTGTATTTAGTTAATTTCTTGTTTTTTCTGTTCTAGTGTCCTGATTTCTTATGCAGATAACAATTACTTGAAGGAATTGAATGATAAAAAGTTTTGTTTATGTGAAGTCAGTTGTATTGAGATCAACAATAATATTCCAGGGTTCACATTCTTTTTATGTATCTTATAATTGTGTTCCTTCATTACTGTAACACTATGTATCAAATATGTTTATTGTTGATGTAATTTTGCAAGGTTGTATCTAAAATAAAGCTATACCAAACACAGAAACTTGTAAAATTATGTAAGAATATTGGATCAACTGGAATGATTCTTTAGCACTTAGTGGTATGAGAGGACTACAGTTGCGTCTGATGGATTTGTGAGGAATGATGATGCCTGTTTCATGACAAGTTGGTAGCATTTGCCTAAAGGAACTGGTAAAGACTCTCAGGGGAGTTGGTATCTTGGCTGTGACTGAAACTAAGCATATCCTGAAAAGATTCAGAAACTTACTTGTTCAGTACAAGTCTTTGTTGTTGGCAAGACTTTTCACTGCATCATTTAAATGGTTTTGTACTCCTTCTGCATCATTTCCCACAAACGTTCCCTGTTCATTTTGTCATTTTGTTTTGACCCTGAGGTCATTAATGTGTGTACATGCAGGCATATGTATATCTTAACCACTGCCTGATGTTTTGTTGCTTCATTACATGCAGAAATCAACTAGGTTTGAACTTCCATAGGTGCATATGTATGTCGTACGTGTATTAACATTAGTCCTGCCTTCTCCATCTTTTTATACTGCACTGTGCCATGAAATGTATGGGGGAGTAGAGGCATAGTTCCATAATTCTTGACCTTGGCACTAGATGGAGGCGAGTGGTCTTCTTCACAACCTGGCCACTTTACCCCTGGGGGAAAGAGGCTCTGGTATCCATAGGATAGGAGGCTGGGTGAACCCCAGAACCTGTCTGGATGCTTTGGAGAAAAATCTCTTGCCCCTGCCAGGAATCATGCCCTTGTCATGCAGCCTATAGCTTATTGCTATACCAACTGAGCTATCACAGCTGTTCCATTACATGCACAGGATGATGTAACACAACAAATTTATGTGCAAATAGTTATTATTGTTGTTCGAATTATATGATTAGACGTTTTTATGGAGACAGTACATAGTGAAGTTTGAGGTAATCAGCTATCAATGTGGAGTTGGTGTCCCATGTCTCAGAGAGACAGTATGTCTCAATCATCAGGTATTGATGGAGACAGAGGCAGTCTCTGAAACATAAGACACAAACTCCCCATTGACATGACTGATTACCTGAAAAGACTTCACTGATATTGAGAATGTTTACTTCATTAGATAAATTAAAATTTGTATCTTGTTAAATTGATCAGATATGTGAAGGGAATTATCTTGTTAAATTTACATTCTCATTAATTTGAATTTTTAAATTATTACTAATATTTAGTGAGACAGAAAGAGAAATGGCAGGTGTAATAAACTTTTGTAAATTTTACATTCATTTTGTCATTTTGGTGTATTATTGTAGGTTCTTCTGAAATTGTCGTCTTTTATTGCCATGATTATTCAGTTGCGTTTTCAGTAGGTTCTGCCTGTTTCTTTGCTCTGAATCATCCTTGTGGTGTACTGTGGTATGTGCAAGCTTGCTGTTGATATTTATTGCACATAGAGCCCATCTTAATTTGTAACTGTGTCCATAGGTTAATGACTTGACAATGAAGGCAGCTGGAATTTCATCTTAACTATTTGTACAACCACCAGCAATGAGGATAACATTACATGTGAATACAGTTCAGCTGAAAATAACACTGTCTCACCCTTCTAACAGATAGATAGTAGTGCGCTTCCTAGTGAATATCTTGGTTGAGTAGATAGCGCTCCTGCTTCCTATTTGGGAAGTTTAGGAGGTTCAAATTGATCAGGTTATTCAAGCTGAGGTTTCTTATTTGCAGACAAGTGCCAGAATAGTATCTCGACCACTACCATTTCCTTCCACATTCTTTCCAATTACCTGTCATCATGTCATTCGCACTGTATATCTTGAATTACTGATTGTTGCTAGGTAAAAGTAAAGTTGTCCCTGTGCTTAACTGATTGGGCACTACGCCATGAAGATGTATGGGGGAGTGGATGTCTTTATCCATGTTTTCTTGACCTTGGCACTAATTGGAGGTAAGTGGTCAGCTTTATGCCCCGGCCGCTTTACCTCCAGGGAAAGAGCCCCTAGTACCCACTGGATAGGAAGCTGGGTGGGCCCCCTGAGCCGGTCTGGATGATGTGGAGACTGGAACTCTGGCCCCTCAGTCATCCAGCCCATAGCCAGTCACTATACTGACTGTGCTGTCCCGGCTCTGACTATTGCTAAATAAGCCATAAATAAATAAAGTGCTTCTTGAACAGCAGTTATTGTGACTGAAGATTCTGTGATGGCAAAACTTCTGTGCTTCTACAGGAAGGGTCGAATATATTCTGTACTAAATTTCACACTAGCAGATTTTGGTGCCTAATAATGTAGTCAAGATACAGTAATTTCCTGACCTCTTTCTTGCTTAATGCTTTGAGCAAATACGTCACAATATGCATTGAAGCTAACATCATATAAACTAGAAAATTCATCATCAGGAGAGACAGGCCATGTTATAGTCTGGTCTGCATCCTCCATTGGGCAAGTAAATCTGTTACCTGAAAAAGAGAGACTTCTGCACAGTAACAGCACAGTTAAATGAAATATATTGAAAATGTTTCTGTTCTGGTTCTAAATGAGTTCCATGTGTCCCTGTTATTAAATAGTTTATTAAGTCAAGTTTCAAGTACAGAGTGATGAAGAAAGCTGATGTCATTCTGTAACTATAATTCAAAATTAACTGTTTCATTATTTAAGCATCTCTGTATGACATGTACAGTATAATACGGACATCAAAATTAGAATAGCATTAGGTATTAAAGTTATGTGGTGTTTACTGAAGTAGGAACACTTTTCTTTGTTGGTTTATTACTGAGAAAAAACAGCATAAAGCCTATAATACCATGTCATTGATTTGTGTGATTGAAACACAGGGCCTGCTAATATTGCAGACATATATTGATTAATAATCAACTGGCAGTGGATTGGCAGTGTAACTAATTACTTTGCCTTATAAAGGCTAAACATAAAACATGGAACTGCATGTTCCTTATATCAGTAGGTCCTTTCTGAGACACGTCAATAAATTCAGTTTTGAAAGCTTACCTATAGCACTATTAATTTCATTAAGTAAATTACATACAAACACAGTAATATAAAACTGTACAAATAAGAGCATAATTTTATTTTTAATATGTCACTCAATCTTAACACATTAACCCTTTCACTGTTGTGCATGCAACATTTCATACAGAAAAGTGTTCGGTATATATGAATATAAAATTTTTCTACAAAATATTCTAGTACCGTAAGATAAGCATTTTGTTTCAAGAAATAACACAGCAAAGTAGAAAAGCAAGGAATTAATTTCATTAGATACAAATGTAATTTTTAATGTCACAATAAGTGTAGAGATGAAATATTGCATTGATGTCCAACTTCTGAATAGCAGGCTAATGTTGGCAGACTGGCAGTGAAAGGGTTACATATAATCAAACTGAAATAATCTATGGCAATGAAACAATAGAAATGATGATGATGATGGAATGATGACAGAAACTGTAGTCCTTTTGTTTCTTTAAAACAACAGTTTTGGCACATTGTTGAACAGTGACTGTTGCATTGTTATCCTTCATTATATGACACTGCAGCACACAGGTTCCTGTAATGTAGTTGTGTAGGTGCCGACTGAAAACATTCTTAGCCAGAGGCATTAAAGCAGACGAATGAAAGAGAACTAAAACATCCATTTGTTCCAAATGTGTCTTCTTACATTAACATTTTGAAATATTTCAAACATTTCTTCATACTTCCTAATTCATTTGTACAACTGAAGCAATGCATATCAAGAAAGAATGCTACTGTTTCTGAAGATGTGTATTTTAAATTGTCGTTCTGCTGTCCACAGAAAATATTTTGGTTCTCACATTAATTTAAAATTGAAAATAACTGTTAACTTGCAGGTTTTATCTGATATAGGGAGCATGCCAAAGTCCAAGATAAATGTGGAAAATCAATCCTTTGTTGCACAAACATAAAGACTTTTCATTTCTACATTTATACTGAATTATTCCATAGGTCTAGATACAATATGCTGTTTCCAAATGAAAGTATATGCAGTGCTTAGTATTTCACAATTGCTCGTTAATAAATATGTGTTTGCTGCAAGAGATACAAAAACTCAAAGTTAGAAAATGGCCCTGCATCAGTTCTCTTTAAATTTATCCATATTTTGACACTTAACACACTTCCTAGAAGGAGAATAATATTTTACAAGTTTCTTTTAAGCACCGCGATGAGTGAAACGGAAGTTACGAGTTTAGTTTCCTGGTGGGATGTAAACTGGTCGTATGTTTTCACCTGTGTCAGCAATATTTAGACGGCTTTCTCGTCTTTGTCTGATGCAAACTGTGCAGCGACTTATCCTTGTTTCAAGACTTCCAGCTTTAAGTGTTTGTTGACGTGGTCTTCGGAACATATCCCGATCTTCTATGGTAGCTAACCAATAGGAATAAGCTGTTGTAAAGTAGTTACAGCGCCCCATGCCATGGCACTCTATGAAAGGTGTGGCTCGGAAATTCTCAAGGCAGGAACCAGGAGAAACAAGAGACTGACCACTACCCTCAGCTCCTGCATCTGTGTGCTGTAATAGAGGATTTAACAAGGGTGTAGTGGCATTGTCATAAAGTTATCCATAAAAGAATTTTATCCTTAATGAAAATATATTCCATTTTCTTCCATTATTCAAGAGAAAGAAACAAGAGGGAGAGAGGTCCGATACTGTATTGCAGTACATAATCTCTGAAGTACTAACACTGCTAACAACAAAGCCCTGTCACATTCTATAATTAGCAGAACTATAATGCTTGCTTCTAGGTTTTCTGAAAGAAGTGAAAGAAAAAGTAGTTTCACATAAGAGATTTCTTAGTTCATCGCTATGAGTAGTTTTACAGAGAGATAACAAATCAATAATATAATATATACAGTATGGCACCTTGTATTTGGAATCCAAAAATCTACAAAGTTTCCTCCACCCTATTTTTAACTACCATTTTGCAATAGAGGTGCCACATATATAAAAAGATTCGAGAGTTCTGCTTACAAAACTGACAATTTTGGCTCACACTGTTTAACTCCAAGCACATTTTAGGTAAATTAAATGTTAATAAATGTTTACAGTTGTTGAATTTATATGTGCTATTTTTTTCTTTTGGCTAAGGAACCCAAAACCGAGAAAGCTGAAAAGCCTTTGATCCCAAGTTTTGCAGATAATGGCTCCCATACTGCAAACTGAAAATGCAGTAGAAGCAGTACACGAATATTAATTAAAAGTGAAGGAATGTCTAAAGGGAATACAACCATAAACAATTCATTCACTCATGGAGCTCAGCCATTCTTGAGAAGCTGCCAATTATGCAGCTACTCAAGAACTTCCCAGTATTTTATGGAACCCTAAGGTTCATTACCATGTTCACAAGAGCCCTCTACTGGTCCCTATCCTGAGCCAGATCAATCCAATTCATACCATCCCATCCTATCTATCTAAGATCTATTTTAATATTGTTCACCCACCTATGTCTTAGTCTTCCCAGTGGTCTCCTTCCTTCTGGCTTTCCCACCAATATCCTATATACATTCCTCCTCTCCGCTATTTGTGCTACATGCCCTGCCCATATCATCCTCCTTGACTTGATCATTATAATTATACTTGGAGAAGAGTACAAGTTATGAAGCTCCTCATTATGCAGTTTTCTCCAACCTCCTGTCACTCCATCTCTCTTAGGTCCAAATATTCTCCTCAGCACCCTGTTCTCAAACACCCTCAGTCTATGTTCCTCCCTTAAAGTCAGAGACTAGGTTTCACACCCATACAGAACCACAGGCAAAATTATAATTTTGTATATAATAATTTTTATGTGTTCAGACAGCAGGCTCATCAATCAAGATATTCCCTCTTTTTATTCCCAAAATGCCTGCTGTTTTCATGTCTTATATTGTTCAGATTATCTCCATTTATTTCCCTTGGATCCTGTAACCACTGCAATTTGGCTTGTTTCCTTTGGTCTAATAATTTTAAACATCCTTCATCGAACCACAGCTTATGCTTCAGTTCAGAATAACCTAGACATGCAACCATAAACATACTTAACATAATCTCAAATGATAAAGAGACACAGAAAGATCTGGATGTAGACTGCAAGGATAATTTTAAGATCTATAAATAGCCTTGAAGCACCCAATCTTTGAGTAGGAAAAATAAGAATAAGGTGATATTTCCTTACCATTAAGAAACTGAAACCTCTCCAGAGTGGGTCCCAGCCATCAGGACATTCGGGCAATTGTATTGACTGACTGTGCACTGTAATTACTCGAGTGGGTGCTTCACACACAGAGCACCTGTTGACACAAGGACTTTTATTGAGGATATCTTTTCTCAGAGTACTTATTTTATATTCTACAAAGAAACAGCTACAAGTCCCCTCCAATACACAAACCTATGCTATGTGGATTGCAGAAATGAGCAGGATGCCTAATGGCAAGGAAAAATGCATACAATATTATATCCTTGTAGAATTTGAGGTTCCCATAGCAGTAGTTACAAAGAGTTCTATCTCCTAGGATGTAATGCTGTGTAGCCTGCTAAATCAACAAACATTTTGGAGGAATATGTCACCTCCATCTTCAGGGCTGGAGAATAAGCCAAGGAAGAAACCAGCATGAAGCAGGCAGCAAGCAAAGCTCAGTCAACACCCAATGATCTCTGTTATCTTCCTTAGCCTCTTTGAGCATCTGTTGTACATTTTCAGTTGGACTATCCACTGTACAGTTTTCCATAAAATGGATATTGAAGGCGTCTTTCAGTCCTTTTGAGAATATTGATGATTTTCACTTAACCAACCAGAGGATTAGTTTAGAGGAGACAGTCCTGCCATGGCATAATAATAGTTTCTCTTCATTTGTATAGCCTACCTTTTTATTAGCACTTTTTCTGTACTTTATAAGGAAATACACTCTCATAATACCACATTTCTGTGTTAGTGTATATGTGTTATGTGTGTTTCTCCACCCCAAATAACTTTTAAATCAGTACACCAGTTTTCATGAAGCTTGGTCTAAAAATAACGTTGCTTATCTGACTGTTAATATTTGATTGATTGATTGATTTATTTCATCACTGTAGATCATTGTACATGATATAGGACAAGTCAAGTTAATTCTGAATATTAACAATTTAATATATGAGTAAGATTAAAATTACAATAGTTACAATTGTTTACAGTTGATTACAATTTTGAATTAGTTAGATATTCTTATTTGTGGAGAATTTGATGGATTAAAATGAATAAGTCAGTTATGAAGAATTTCTGGAAAATTACAGGACTTGGGTAAAGAAATTACTAAAAGCAACTTTCATAAAACTGATTATGTTATTTGACGTTTTACCTTGATATATATTGCCTCAGGTCTCTTGCTGCAATTGGTGTCATCATTGCAGGCATGGGGTAATCAGTACTCAACCAATAACTATAGTCATTTCTGCTTGAGTAGTCGCAAACATTGTTGATATTACAGAACATGAAAGGCATCGTGGAGAATCTCTGTAAACAGCTTCCAGGTGCCCCTATGATAGGGTGACATCAAGATAATTAATACTAAAAGTACTTATGTTTGCATCATAGCACAACTTTATTTAGATTTCCTTTCATAATTATGTATCCCAAATAAATGAGGCAGAAAATTATTCTAAAGGGAATTCCATCAGGATGTGTCATATATATGTCATCTTCATTAAATTTTAAAAAATATGGATCAGTGTGAGTTCAAGAGCTTCTGAAGTCAAATGCTTATTTGCATAAATCTGGCCCATAAATTTGTTTGCCATATTTAAAAAAAAAATGTGTTTTTGGGAATTTTATTCTATAAACTGTGTATCAGTAAAAAAAGATTGAAGAGGAGAAAATTATTTATTTCATAAAATATAAGAACTGAATTTATAACACCAGTCACACGGCCTCCATCCCCAAAGAGTATATTCATAAGAAGCTTCTAATACATATGAAACCAGATATATAGAGATCAGTAACGCTTCTTAAGTTTGTCTGTCTTCAATTTCCAATTCAGTTTAATTTGTAAGGTAATTTGTAACTGTAAAGAATGATGTACTTCGCATTTTATGCATTAATAAGCATGACAAATTTTCATCCTTAGCACTTCACCTAGTTAATAACCACAGTTATTTTTATCATATGATTCAAAATCTGAAATTTTACAAGCTTTTGCAATAATTAAATCAGCCATCATATGTACACTGATATCAATGGGTGATTTGTTTTATTTTTTTAGAGGGTTAATTTTACACTTTATAAAATTATATACAAGGTAAAATTAAAAGTTTATAAATTGTATAGTGCAGACTGGAGTCAAATAAAATCATATTTTATTTGCATACCAAAATATTCTAATTTCATAAGGAATTTATTATTATAATACCAACGAAATATATGGTACATACCCAAATCTTGGCCATGTGCCTTAGCATTCCCCAGGAAATGTAGCAAAGAGAAACCATCCCACAGTCTTACTGTGCCTCTGGGACAGACTGGTGTCTGGATAGTCTGCGAATGTCGTGTAAAGAAAAAGCCCCGGCTCTTGGGAGGGGGTCCTGGTGGAGATGGGTCACCTCTAGAACCAGGGAAACCTAAAGAGATGGAATTGAACCAACTGCAATTACTGTATTTATACTTAGAGTTCAAAGATATAAAAAGTGACTTAAGCAGTTCGTCTGTAAATAGTTCACTCCAACTGAAGTGTATTTTGATTAAAAGTGACGCATTTAAATCTCACCAGAAGTCCATTTAAGTTTATAACGATAAAAGTTGAGAACAGGGAGCAAGAAATGAAGGAAAGTGTCAAAGTATAGAAGCTACTGAATAAAAACTGAAATGAAGGCAGAAAATTACATAGAGTTTTGATGGGAGAGAAACCAAGCAAAAAGATTACTTGGCAGATCTAGGCACAGGTGGAGCTTTGAGAAATAAGTTGTGAAACTGTGAAATGGATTAAATTGGCTTAAGGGTCTAAATAGAGCATGCGGTAGCATAGTTGGTTCAGGCACTATGCTGCAACCTGAAAGGTCATAGGTTCAATTCCCGATGAGGTCACTGGATTTCTTCAATTGACCTAATCCTTTAAGCCGCCGCAATATGGCCCTGGGGTCGACTCAGCCTCTAAGGGAAATGAGTACCAGCAATCTTCTTGGGGGTAAAGGGAGGCCAGCCAGCACATGATGCTGGCAACCTCACTGCCATCTGCTAGCCAACTGTCTAGAAAATGTGGGGGCCTTGACGGCCTATTAACAGTGATAGCTTTACCTTTTTTTTAAGGGTCTAAATATTGTATTTCAGCATCCTGTTATATTAGTTGAACCACCACATGTAAACAAGTCTTATAATGCAACTATTTAGTTGTGGAACATTGATTTTATTGAAACATGTTATAAACATATATAAATATGAGTTAAGTATGTAAATAATCCATAAATAAATAATTTAATTATAAGACAGTATTACACACATGCACATGTGTTTGCACGCACATCTGTGTGTGTATCAAAAACTGAAATGTTGGAATCAAGGCCATGAACCTTCAGGTCACTTTCTTGACAAGCTCAGTAGGTATCAAGAGCTAATGGGGGACTCTGAACAATGGAATGAGCTACCATAAAAATAAAGCAAATATTTACAAAAGACATTAGACATGAAAAATAATAAAACAACCCAGAATGGTTAAGAAGGGTAAAGGATAATTCACCTGGAAGCCCTCTGTTCCCTGTCAACCCAGGCCTGCCTGCAAACCCTGGTTGACCCTTTGGACCTGGCAGTCCTGGTAGACCTGGACGTCCTGGTATTCCATCATCTCCCTTGAGACCTTGAAGTCCATCACGCCCTGGTTTACCCATTTGTCCCTGGCCACCATTAAATCCTGCAAAAACAAAAATTGTTCCTTAAAAATCTCAGTAACAGAATAAAAACACAATAAGACATGAAATGATACACCAGCCATATGCTGTCAGGTACTTCCAGTTCATTAAATATTTCTCTCTCTCCAAACAGTGACCTTTCTTTGGAGATACATTGAATTTCATATCTTACTACAAAAGTCAGTTCATACTTGAATGCCACAGAATAAAAAGCACCAGCTGCATTAACCCTCTTATGGCCAAGGCTATTGCTACGACATGTGCAACAAATGCCACTGTTCCATAAAAAAATTAACTGGTTCCAAGAAAGGCTTTGTGTTCAAGATAAGAAGCAAAGAGTACTGAAAATAAATTCCTGCTTGTGATATCTGTTGGCAGATGTTAATGACATGGAATACAGATCCAGAATCTAACCATCAGCCTGACTGGATCATGAGAGCTCTAGCAAACCTGCCTCATCGAATGAGTTGGGTTTTCTAGCAAAGAAAGAAATAAATTAACATGCCCAAGCACAACAAATATAGAAAATGTTGAAGATGATGGACTAATGTTGATAAAACATGACTAATTTCAGCAGCAGAGACCTTAATTTACACTGGAAATCATCAACAGAATTTGTGAATTAAACAGAAGTTCAGAGCAATTAAGTGAACTTTTTAAAATGAAAGGTGTCACCACAGTTTGAATGTGCAAGAAAAATTATGTTCTCAGACCCAAGCTGAAGAAGAGTCCATTGTATAACCACATAGGAGTCTGCAAACAAACTCACCTGGAGCACCTGGGGGTCCTGCATCACCAGGGGCACCACGCACACTTTGGCTTGGAGGAAACGAGTCACCACGTGCACCTTTCTCTCCCTGCAGAATGCGAAATAAAATCAAACATTCTCACAGAGATGGAGACACCATTGCCTGGAAGTAAATATCTGCCACCCATGAAATTTCCTCATTAAATGAGGAGAGATCATATAGAGAGTTAGGGAAGAAAGAAATCTATACAAACATTCAAGTATCCCTAGAGGATTTCACCTATGGCCACAAGGTGCCAGGCTTATCAGTACAATGGTTACCAGGCTCCCATAAACACAGTTTTTTCATGCACCTATTCATACACCATTTGGTAGTCTAGGCATGCATGGGAGGATAATATTAAAATTGATCTTAGGGTGTGACAATGTGGACTGGATTCATAAGGCTCAGGTTAGGGAATAGTCACGTGTTCCTGTGAATATGGTAATGGACCTTTGGGTTTCATAAAAAATCAATGCAAAGACATTGCACAAACATTCTCACATATGAACTTGTAGGATTTGAGGTTCTTGCACCAGTAATTATGAAGAGTCATATCTTTTGAGAGATAATAGTGTGTAGTCCATTAAAAGCCAACTTTGAGTGGACTACACAGTGTTATATCCCAGAAGACAGAACTCTTCATGATTGACCATGACTGCATTATCTTGGAAATGAAATTGATTGTTACTGATGAATATTAAGCAACAGTGAAATTCACCTGACCAGTGAAGCCAGTTTCAACAAAATCAGTATTTCACGTTTGGCCCCTGAAGATACCCCATTGCAGTGTAATTTAGGGAAATAGTCTCCATAAATTACTGAAATGTAATTAAAATTATTGGAGCCAGTTTTTGAAAATCTCCAGTTTGTGTTTTAGGGCCCATCTGACAGGAACCAAATTTTTGGAACTAGAATGTTCGTATCCATCATAAATTGACTTGTGATGGACAGACCCCTGGATACCAAACCTAAACAAAATCTAACTGCTCAGGGGCCAACGAGGTGCACATACACCTGTTCCATAATGTTAGTTGATTGGTTGTTCATGTTTCCTCCATTCACTTACCTTGGGACCAGGTATTCCTGGCAGCCCACTGGGCCCATTAATACCAGGTAAACCTCTCTCTCCTTTCCTGCCTGCATATCCTGGAAGTCCTTTGAGGCCTGAATCTCCTTGAATTCCTTTTGGTCCTGGGATTCCTTCCAACCCAGGAAGGCCAGGAGTACCAGCCATGCCCTTAAAACTGAAGAATAGGAATATTCAAAATTGTAACTGCTTCTGTAAGTGTATGGCCTATGTTCAGAAAAGAATGTAGACAGTTTTAGGTCACATAGGACACATTAAACCAACCTATTTTGACAGGGGAGGGAAGGTTGCTGCTTCTGTCAAAGAAGCACCTCCTGGTTAGCATTTAACTGAAGCTTTTTATCTTCATCAATATGAAGAATAGTTTTATTCAACGGGCCCTGCAGAGTAAGAATTCCTTCTTCTGCTCTTCTGTGTTTTATCTAAAGGCAGAAACAGAGCCAGCTCTGGAATGTCATAATTATTAGAATTTTACATTTTAAAACAAAGGTAATGGATAATGTGTAAATATACCCTCAAAACAGATTATGTGTGTGATTCTTTTTGTCAAATTCGCTTAGTGGGGGGTGGAGTCCAGCTGGGTCCACTCGGCACGGCGGCCACTGATTGGCCTATTGTACCTGCCCTGGGTGATTATGATGATGGAGAATTTGGTGGAATGAAGATTGGCAGGGGAAACTGAAGTACTCGGAGGAAACCCGCCCCAGCACCACTTTGTCCACCACAAATCCCACTTGACCAGACCAGGGATCAAACCCGGGCTGCCGCAGTGGGAAGCCAGCAACTAACCGCTTGAGTATGTGTGTGATAACAAAGTGTTAAGTATGATGCATAGAAGATGAAATAGCAGAGAAATTGAGGAAATTAGATGAGGAGCCTATATTCTTCACCTAATTAGGTAGGAAGGGTGGGGCATGTAATATGGGGAGGAATGCACAGAAACTTATGGTAACAAAATGTTAAGGGACGAGACCTAAGTTCAGATGGGGGTCACCATTCTCAACTAATTCATGGAAGAATGGGCTGTAGAGATTAGAAATGGATTGGGTAGGGTACAATGGTTGACTTTTGCAAATGCTATGCTGAATATATAGGCTTATAAAAATAACTGATTAACTGACAGCTGCTCAATGAAGACTCAACAGGATACAAATTAGTCACTGTGATGTTTATTATACCTTAGTGCTGGGAGTCCTGGTGAGCCATGGATGCCTTTGGGACCTGGAACTCCAGGCTGTCCTTCCTGCCCTGGTAGCCCTGGAGGTCCCAATCTTCCTGGCAGCCCAGGCAATCCTTTGGAATGGTGAATATATTATAATGTCAGTGTGAAAAGTAATACAAAGTATTATTTCATGTTTTAGAGTGAACCTAATGAGTGATTATTTTCCTTGAGAGTGCTCTATAAGTTTTATTAAAAAAATCTGGAGACATCATTCATTTTGCAAATTATGTGAGTCCACAATGTACAGCTTTTCACCTGGTGGTCATTATAAAAAACTATTATTTCATTATTTTTAACACATTCACAACTAAAAATGGCAGTAGCTGCTCAAGTAAATGACCTCCCAACACAGAATATGACTCAAAACACTTTTACTCATTCATATTCATATTCATATTTTTATTGGTTCCAGAAATCCACATTTTGCAATACAGCCTCCCGATATAGAACAAGTCAAATTATTTGTATAAAAGTCAACAATACTATAATATTTAACTACATACACAAATTATGTACATGTCCAACATACCATATAAACTATATTAAAAATTTAAGACAACATAAATTCCCCAACAGAGTAACTAGTTCAATCCATTTCACATCAATCAATCAATCAATAAATCGATCAATCAACCAATCCATTCTTCCTTCCTCATCAAATCACTGTCATGTGAAACGTTCCAGACACATTAAACATACAATATTTCAATTTCTATAATTAAAAATAAATACCCCCCTTTCACAAACATACCATCTTTAATTTAACATATATTCCTCTGCAGAATAAAACGTATGTTGTACCAAATATGACCTCATTACTTTTTTAAACTGTCTCATTTTTTCTATCTCCCTAATTTTATTTGGTATGTTACTTTATAATTTTATTCCCATGTTCAGTACTCCTTTCTTATAGGCATTTGTTCTGCAAAACTGAGCATGGAGATTTAACTTCTGGCATGTATTGTGATTATGAACTACGTTATTTTATTCTAAATTTTCTAAATGTAGTTTAACATGGCATTTTATTATTATTATTATTATTATTATTATTATTATTATNAGCAAAGTAAATACTCCTTATAACCTGATGGCTTGTTACATTCCCAAGGGATTTCATCATGTAACAGACTTTATCAAGTTTTGAGCTTAAGAACATCATATCTGCTTTCCACTCCATATGCTCACCAACATGTATACCTAGAAATTTCGTTTCACATTTATAGGAGATCTCCATTTTATCAAATTTGATTTGAGGTTTCATCAAATCTCTTTCTCGTCTATTATGAAATGCCACTGCTATTGTTTTTTCAGTATTCAATATAAGATTATTTGCATTGAACCATCCATATAACTCATTCATGACTTTATTTATCTTTTGCTGCAAGATATGTCCCTTTTCACCTGTTACCTAAATATTTATATCATCTGCAAACAAAACTATCCTCACCTCTTTGATATTCAAAGGCAGATGATTTATGTATAATAAAAATAATAATGGTTCAAGCATTGAACCCTGTGGTACTCCATATTTAATTTCTCTTGGAGCCGATGTATATTTTTTGCCATCACAACTTATTTCAACAACTTGCTTCTGGTAAGCCCAATATGATTTAAACCATAAGTTTGCCACACCTCTAGTTAGTTAGTTATTGGAGAGGGTGGGCTTCCCCATGCACTGAGACCTGTATTGGTCCATTGTGCTTCCCTCTATGATTTCTACCAGTCTCTATATCCTACCGGTACTGGTGCTTACCATCAGTCCCGCAAAGCCAGCGAGACCGGCTCTACTAGCTGAGAGGTATCTATAATGCTTCCCCCATCTACCAGAGGTATTAGAGACTGCTGTTGGGCGGGAAACGTCCGTTAATTTGGCTCAGTGACCTCCTTTGGAGATATGAGGTTCTTTTACGTGCCGTAAAGCTACGACACGGGACCCACGGCTTAAAGTCCCTCCTGGAGGACTTGTTCCCTGAATTTTTCTGCCCTTAAAAATTCGACAACCTCCGCCAGGTATTTGAACCCGCATACTACGAATCATGAGGTGGGGATGTTACCTCTAGACTACGGAGGCCGCTTTTGCCACATCTCTAACTCCATATGTTTGTAATTTAGAAAGTAAGGTGTCATGATTTATGGCATCATATGCTTTAGTTAAATTACAAAAAATTCCAACCTGTTTTTCTTTTTTCTCAGCTGACTCCTGTATGTTTGCTAGAAAAGAGTAAATTACAGTCTCAGTCAACCTATTCATCCTAAATCCATGTTGGGCCTCTGTTAATATGGTATTTCTTGTCAAAAAGGAGAGTAACCCATTATGCATCAACTTTTCCAAGATTTTCAAGAAAGCACACAAAAGGGATATTGGTCTATAATTTTTCATATCCTTCTTGTCTCCCTTTTTATGAAGTGGTTTTACCTTTGCTATCTTAAATCTCTATGGGAAAATACCTGCTTCTAGAGAGAAATGTGGGTTAATGGCATTTTAACCACTTCTATACATTTTTTAACCACATAATCCGGTATTTCATCGGTACCTGCTGAAAGTTTCTTCACCACTTCTAACATCTCGTTTTCTGTCACTGGACAAATAAACATGGTTTCATTACAGGTATTTATTCTCTGTGGTGCTTTACAGCACAACATCGTACTATTATTTTGCTTGACAAGCTTTCCTACTATGTCTGCAAAATATAAATTAAACATTTCAGCTATATGCTGTGTATTAGCCTCTTTCCTTGTCCCGCACTTTAGTTATATTCTCAGTTCCCTTTCCAGGTTATTTCCTAATTCCTTATTCACTATTTGCCACACTGCTCTAGTTTTGTTTTTTGCATTAGTTACATGCCTATCATTTTCCTTCTTCTTAGCTTCCTTTATTACTCTCTTATATATTCAACCAACTCATCCTTTATTTCTTATTCCCTGAGTAACCCAACCTTTACTTTGTTTACTCTGGTTAAATAATTTTAAGGGGAAAACCATATCAAAGTAATAATGGAAAGTATCCATCATTCATCAAAGTCTTGGTGTCCTTTCTAAATAAAGTACCCCAAAATTACAAAATCTTCACAGGTCATAGTACAAGTTCTGAGAAACACCGTTTTTCACATTCATTTAGTGGGACTCTTGTTTTCCTTCTTCTACTCTAGAACTCCTATATTAACTTCTGTTGGCCATGATTATGTTCCATGGGATTAAACAGGTATACAAATGTCTATCAATGAATTAATTAGAAAGAGTATAATAAAATTGTAAACAGGGACTAAACTATGCTATATTCCATGCATCAGTCAAGGCACTGCTTACCTGGAGAACCTGATATTCCTTTAGGACCTTGGATTATACCACCTGGTCGTCCTGGTATTCCAATTGGCCCATCAGGTCCATAGACCCCAGGAGCTCCCTTTTGGCCTGGTCTTCCTGGTTTTCCTGGGTGTCCATTAAAACCAGATCTTCCCTTTTCACCTGGTTCTGCACCCAAACCTGGTAATCCTGAGAAATACAAGAAATCATTTTAAATACTATCCACAGTTAAATGATAAATCATGCTTTGTTTAACGTGTGATACTATGTAGACATTTCTGTGCTAAAATACTTCTTTCTTTTGAGTCAACCTATAGTAGCTATGGTATTGAAATTATGCCCATTGCTCTACACAGACTTTGGTTATGCTTTCCTACTGTGATTTATTCATAAACATTGATCCTAGGAGGGCCACTGCTCATCTGAAAGGTATTAGTTACACAATCATGCCATTCACACTCATTCAAAATTTGTCAGCTTTGAAACAGTGTCTTCTCAGTGAGTCAGAAGGAAGCCTGAAGACACACAGCCTTCTTCTTCTCCTTATTCTCCTCCCACTCCATGGTTTACATTATTCACATTTCCATACATCCTTTCCTGGGGTAGCCAATGAATCTGCACTTGTATTCCCTTGACAGGTATTTCATTATTTGCTTTGGTATTCTTTCATCTGATATTCTTTCTATATGAAATACAGTAATAAATAGATAAGACTTTCTCGGTGTGTTTGCAGTTGAGGGGAAAGGGGAAGGGATGGAAGTTCTGAACACAGACACTGATCACTGTAGTCTTGTGGACAATAGTGCTGTACTATATTATTTAAAAGAATATAGTTTTCTTGTCAGACTATCAAAGATTTTTAGGAATAAGAGAGGGTTTGGAGGGTGACTCTGATGAAACGATCTCATCTGATAGTGAATGCGAGCTTGATGAGCACAATGTAACAGCAGGTGATAGCAGTAGTGTGAGCAGTTTCCAACTCCAGACTTTAATTTGGAAATCTGTTTGTTCATAATTTGAGTAAACACAGTTCTACCACCTTTGCAAACAGAATAAATAATACACATGATACAAAGCTCCAGCTATATTTTGCAACTTAGAACATGGCAGATAAATGAAATGCTTTACCTGGAGGACCAGCAGGACCAGATTCTCCTGGGTAACCTGGGCTTCCACTAATTCCTGGAAATCCACGAAGTCCTGGGGTACCAATCTCACCAGGGGAACCCTGAAGAACATATTGCACAATATGTATACAGAAATGTGAAATGGCATGGACCATGTTTGTGGTAAAAATAATTATGGAAACTTTGGTAACATCTTCCATACATCAAACATCTTTAGAGCCTTCAAGCAAACTGGCAGCCATAATTGATTAATAAGATATGTTTTCAAACTATGTCTACTAATAATTATGTTAAGCTGGTTCAGGTTTTCATCTGATTTAATGTGATGATAGTTTCAGATAATTAGTATAGTTATGTTGGCCTTAAACCCACTAAACAACCAACTGCCACTGTTTAAGTTTTCAAGAATCTAAATATTCCTTGATTTTTTAATGTATATTTAAAAGCTGTGCATATTTCTTCAATTAAAATTTCATATATTACTCCCTATTTTTTCCTTGACTGCTTTGCTAGACATGTATCTGGCATTTAAATCTTGACAAGTGAATATGTTATATTCAGTGTATGTTCTTCTTCTTCTTCTCCGTCTTATTGTTATTATTATTATTATCATTTGCAAGGTTTCTGACATACTTATTCCATATTATTATTGCTGTTTGTATGCACTCCTTTCCAACATACCACTTTTCCAGGCAGTCCAGGTACACCAGTCTCACCCGGTATGCCTTGGTAGCCCTTTAGTCCATGCAGACCTGGTACTCCAGGTTCACCTTTGGAGCCAGGTGCAAACTGCTTGTACCCAGGTTCTCCAATCAGACCCTTGGGTCCTGGTAACCCTTGCAAACCTTGCAGTCCTATAGGTCCAGCATCACCAGGCAGACCTTCAAAACATTACAACAACTGTCAGAATAATGAACACAGTGACACCCCTTTCCAACATTTTGCTAGGAACCAAGAATTTTTAGCACTGTGACACCATGTGAGCCAAAATCATAGCTTAGAAAGAGGGACAGAAGCATAGTGGAAGGAGAAACAGCTTGTTCTTCTTAAGCTAAGCTTTGCTATTAACGAGTTTTGTCACATGTCATTTGAACAGGGAAAGGGCACAGAGAGTGAAACTGACTGCTCACACTATAAGTGGGAAAGATCACCAGACACTGGACTTCCACATTCCTTCCATGTCTCTCATGTTGCAAAGTATATACTTTAAAGGGAATTTCAGGACCTTCAAGACAATATTTAGCAGAAAGTTCCTTCTGCTGATGGATATCTTTATCATCTCCCTGAACAGAATCATGCCTTAAACTGAAGTGGATTCTTTACTCGTACCAGACAAGGATCAAATAGATCAAAGAACAGTAACTGGGAACTTTAAAGCATACACATATACCCACCCAAACACACACATCAAAATGCTGTTATAAATAACATTCATTGATAGATTAATGGACATTCCTAATTCTCAGTAGTGCTACATACCTGTCAACACACAGTAGCATATCCTTCCTTTTTCTCCTTACTCACTCTGTTCAAAATTATACCACTACGCTAACTGCGGTCAGTGTAATTGAATCTGCATCATCTCTACCACTATCAGTCACTACTTTCACAGTAAACATGACTTTATTTGAGCACATAAGCTCACTAACCATAAATGAAGATACATAACTTCTACATTTACATGCTGCATACTGGCAGATGTAGATGTAAATATAAATATATCTATCTTTACCTGGTCTGCCAAATATTCCAGGTTCTCCTTCATTGCCTCTCTCCCCTTTGAGTCCAGGTGGACCCGAGAGACCTGGGTTTCCAGGCAGGCCCTTGAACCCTGGTAGTCCATCCCTACCCTTAAAACCAGTATATCCTGGTACACCTCTCTCACCAGTTATTCCTTTTGGTCCCTCAAAGCCTATATCACCAGGTTGTCCCTTAAAACATAATGGTTATAAACATAACTGTTAGCAATACTGAAACATCATTTAGTATCTTTACCACCTAATATGGATATTTAACGCTAAACATGCTTAGAGTAATCATGAGCATACTAATACAACCTTCCATTAGAACTATTAATATTTCTGTTGTAGAAGTATTCCAAATTCTTACTAAGAAAAACAGCAGAAAGCACTGGATAGAGATTCAGACCATCACAAGGTATTTGGCTTCAGAAGAAAACATACATATGTACATTCAAACTATAGTGGCATTAAAAACCACAATCTAGTGTTTGGGTAACCTATAACAATGCATGCCTTATTCTTTGTAGTTAGTGGGCTCAGAATTCTCATGCACTCACATTTTTAGATTGAAAATAATTAATCAGAATTTTGAAATTCACTCGATCTGCCACAGCAACGCGTGGCCAGGTACAGCTAGTTAAAAATAATATGCTTATATAAATTATTAATAACTTTTTTTAATTGCTAGTGGGGTGGGACTTAGCCCCTTGTACTGCGGCCACTTCTGGCCTATTGTACCAGCCCCAGATGTCAGGTGAGGGTGATTGTGGAGCAATTGGTGGAATGAAGATTGGCAGGGGAAAATGAAGTACTCCGAGAAAACCTGCCCCAGTGCCACTTTGTCCACCACAAATCCCACTTGACCAGACCCGGGATCGAACCTGGGCCACCGCGGTGGAAAGCTAGAAACTATCCACTTGAGCTATGGCACGGCCTATTAATAACTTACTTAAATTACAATTTATTGTATTTTTTTCACTTCTAACAGGATTGTACTACAGTACAACAGTCACCATAAAAATTCAAATTTCGTCATAGTGCAACTACTGAAACCAGAATATCAAATTTCTTTCTGTAAGCAGTGGAAACTTTTGGTTTGAGTGTTCAGACACTTAAAGGGCATTAATTGTTAAGGTAAGGTATTTACATTTTAGATGGGAAGAAGTTACTTTACATGGCAGTTGAAGATTATATCAAATGATCTGGTGCCATCACTGTGAAGGTAAAGCAATTGCTATAACAGGCTGTGGAGGCCCACATGTTTGTGAGATGTCAAGGCTCCCACATCTTCTAGACATTCGGCTCACAGATGGTAATATGTTTGTCAGCCTTACATGCTGGCTGCCCTTTAGCACCAGGAAGATTCCTGGTACTCATTTCTGTTAGAGGCTGAGTCAACCCCAGGGCCATAGTGTGGCTGGAAAGGTTAGGTCAAATAAAATATCCAATAACCTCATTGGGAATCGAACATGCCACCTTCCAGCCTCTAGGATAGTGCCTCAACACTGGCACGGTAAAGGAGTAAGTTTTGTGAATAGAACTTACAGACAGTCCTGGAAGACCACGGCTCCCATTGAACCCACGTTCACCCTTTTGCCCAGGTTCTCCACGAATACCATTAATAATCCTTCCTGGTTCTCCAGGCTCTCCCTGGAGACCATCCAGACCAGGCAGACCATCAATTCCTGGTTCCCCTCTCAAACCTGAAATAGGTAAAGCAGTAGCCTTAAATGAAAAAGAAACAAACAAAGATCAGCATGTTTCAGAAGTGTAAGTGCTAATGTTCCATGTTTATATTACATGACCATCCTATCTCATCTTCCTTAATTTTGATACAAAAGGAAAAGTTAGGAAAGATGTATGTTGTATTTTAGTGTCCTGTTCCACTGATTCATATTCATAATGTATGTATATTAACAGTCTTCCAGTGCATACAATCCCATCTACCACTTCTACACTACATGTTTTGGCAGTATGCTGCCATCTTCAGGTGTATTGATCCAGTAACCATTTCAATGCTTGCCTTTATATGTCCATTTACAAATAATATTCAATTTGTATATGTCCTTATATAATAATAAAGTTTGTGTTTAAAACTTGTTAAAACCCATTATCTCATATGTCATATTTTTAAAATTCGTGTGTATTATTAATCATCCGCATGGGGGTCGTTCTTCTTATGTTTCTAATGTTGTGTGTATATTGTGTCTTATGATGTGTTCTACTTTTGTGGCTGCGTGCGTTGTATCTTTGGATGTGTCCAATGCTGCAGTGGGAAGCCAGTGACTAACCACTTGTGCAGCCATCAATATTTGCTAGTTACTTAACTAATTAGTTACTGGACTCTTCAGCAAAGTCAGTCAAGTAGACTTCTGAATGTCTGTTCATGTGTAATACTACAGTGAAATATATATTACATTTTTTTCAGTCACGTGCTATTCAAAATTTTCACCTTACCGTTGGTTTTGTTTCTTAAGACACAGCGCAGAGCTATATTTTTTCTCACCTGGTTCACCTTGTTCTCCCTTGGGACCACTGAATGATGAATCTCCTGGGGGCCCTTCAATTCCTGGAAGTCCGGGGTCACCACGTGGACCCTGAAGCAATACAATACCTCTAAACCATCAGATTTTAACAATATTGTGTTTCTAAATCATGGCTAATTTCTTCATACAAATAGGCCAGAAAAACGATTAATTTTTCTTTTGAGATTTAAGATATATTCACGACATAAAGAGAATTAAATATGTGCATGGGTAGTCAGAACATGGATATCTGAAGTTCTCTATATTTTGTAGATGTCCATATTTCTCTTGCATAAATGTAGCAGTCACTTCACACTCTTATTAAGCAAGCAGGAACATTACCAAGGATTGCTGGGCAAGGCAAATTCATTTTATTTTTAACAGAAAAATAATATAGCTTGCATATCTTCTTCCTTGCACTAGGAAATTATTGGGCAACCTTATACGACAATGACAACTTCCCACTCTTACCTGAAATCCAGGTCGTCCTCTAAAGCCAGGATTTCCCTGCGGTCCAAAATCACCCCTGCCACCCTTAGCACCAAGAGGTCCTGGTAATCCAGGTCTTCCTGGTAGACCAGGAGGGCCTGAAAAAAAAAGACTATACAGGCTTATGAACCAACTCAATGAATCAGAGCCCTTCAGAAGCTCAGACGGTCAAAGAATTCCTCACTTTTCATGGAACCTGAAGGTTCATTCTCATATTCACAAGAGCCAGCCTGAGTCAGATTGATCCAATCCATACTCTCAGATGCTACATCTTTAACATCCTTTTAATATAATATTTCCACTTATACTTTGGTCTCTCAAATGGTGCGGTCATGGTAATAGATATTAAATACCTGAAAAGTCTGTGTGAAATCCTTATCAATTTGGAATAATGCACTATAATTTTAGTGATGGATATAACGTGTTGTGGACAAAATCTGATACTGTATAACAAATCTGCAAAATATTAAAATGCATTAATCTGTCCAGTAGATGGCAATAAACTTCGTGAATCAAACAGCTAGTTACATAATAGGTGTGAATTATATACCTGTACTGTTAATTTACCTGGGAGTCCAACTGACCCCTGATCACCAGTGGGGCCAGGCAATCCAGGAATGCCCATACGTCCACCTATTCCAGGAAATCCTTGTGGTCCTTGTTCTCCATCAATTCCCCTCCGGCCCACCTGTCCAATCTCTCCTTTCAAGCCTTTCAATCCTGCTACACCACCAGGCCCATCCTGTCCTAGAGGCAGATGTATTAATAATAGTGACCCATTTCATTCCTATTTTTTTTTCCTGGCACTACAGCCCCAGTGGGCCTAGGCCTACCTCCATGAACTTCTCCATTCACTTCGTTTTTTCTAGATCTTACACATACGGTAGGACTCATTGGGCGAGTGATCAGCTCGTCGCAAGGCCTCTTACCTGTAGACAAACACAGAAAAACTCACACAAACATCCATGCCCTGAGTGGGATTCGAGCCCACAATCTCGGCTTCCGAGCGAGCGAAGACAGTGCATGCCTTAGACCGCTCAGCTACCATGACCGGCATTTCATTCCTATACCAGCCACTAATTCCCCATGGCAAGAAAGACAGAGATATCCACCTTTGAAACATCTGACATGAACATATGCTCATTTTAAACCATAACTGACTGACCAGCCATGTCATATTTCTTGATTTATTTAGTAACACTTTATCAGCTGCATAGCATACAAAATTTCAAACAATTGAACTATTATGAACAATTATTTGGAAGGGATTAATGGCTCATTTTAAGGTACTGTCTTAGCATTTTTTGTAGTAACTGAGGAAGCATCTGAGCCCTCCCCCAGATAAGATCAGCTGGTCTCTGGGCTAAGAATCAAATCATAATCTGCAGTATACACAGCAAAGTGCTTATGCCTATGCTGTGACAGTTAGACTGACTTAACTGATCATTTTATTTGTTCACCCATTCCTTTCTCATGAAATCTTTCTACTATAACTAAGTTTAGTTCAGATACATTTAATGTTTGTAAATTTACCTCTAGGGCCTGGTGCTCCAAATATGCCAACCAAACCAGGTAAACCAGGCAGGCCAGGTGCACCTGGGGCTCCGGGAACGGTATCACCTGGTAGACCTTTCTGACCCTAAGGCAAAGACATGCAATGTCAAACTGTTGTATAATTCTGGAAAACCAGTAGGAAGGGCAAGGTGATACTGTGCATGGTAGAGAAAAACTGGTTATGATTTTTACACATGGAAATGCAGGATACAGTAAAATATTATGAATGGCAGATAAACAATTTTAAGTTTGAAAAGGGGAAAACACTGTAAGTAGGAAAGGAAGTTGTAACAGTACAGAAAGACAGAATTTGTTTTCAGATATAAGTGAAAACATTTTGCGGTATACTATCATACAAAGAAACACAGGTGGTGTAAGGAGGAATATGCTGATAAAATCTTCTTGGGCTATCAGCCACATGGTTAAAAGTCACTGACATCTCAGGGACCATCTCTGTCTCCAATATCAAACCCTGATGATGAGGGCTGAGATGATCTCTGAAACATTGGTGATTTTTACCCAAATGACATGACTGATGGCCCAAGAAGATTTTATGAACTTTAGAATTATGACAGCTTGAGATTTTACTAAGGATTACAATGATTGTTGTACAAGAAATTAGGGAAGCCAGGTGACATGATTGAAAGCAGATATTGGAAATTAGAGGTACTGGAGAGGATTTTAAATGGAAAATGTCCCCTATACAATACTTTCAATAGCGTAAAACAGTGTAGGTATGCGCAAAAAATCTACTTGTCTTGGTACAAATGCGAGATTTTTGCGGCCACATTCACATATTCCCATTTAACCCATAAGATAATAAGTCTGTCAAACATACAATTACCTAATGTGCTATTCTTGAACTCCTTACACAGTGGATGAGGGTTTACTGTACCCTCATTTCAGTCACTTCACACTGTAAGGCACACCATTAATAGACGCATTTCTGATTATTCATTTCATGTTAAAGTACTTTCATGCAAAGGAAATAATTAATGAAGTAGTGTTTCTTAAAATTAAGTGTGGAGGGGGGGGAGTAAATGTCAACTATATAAAAAGAAATTTTCTATCACATCTCAACATGCTAACTTATTAAGTCCATGGAAAAGAATTCTTGAGAAGGTGATAGTAGTTTAAATGATCAAGAAATCCCCCACACTTAACAGAATAGCATTATCCAATCAATGATAGAACACACATATAGCACGTTTGCAGAAAAGGAAAGGTGAAAGTGATCTATTAGTAAGTAAATTATTAAGCACTATCCAGACCCAAAAGAATGTAGTTCACATCATCACATCATATTTCTTAAGGAACCATATTATATGAGCTTAGGTATTCAAATGGGTCTTCTCAGTTGTTCTTGGACCACAATTTGTATGCATTTCTCATCTCACCATGGGTGCTAAATGTCTTGCTATTTTCATCCTTGATTTTTAATATTCCCATAACTACTTTTAGATCACTTATCATTATCATCATAACTATTAAATCATAATATTATATGAGAGTGCAAAATACTTCTCTGAAAACCATAGTTCTGTAGTATCTGTATCTGATATCTGATATCTGTATTCAAAGGACAATTTCCACATCCTGGTTTTTTAACTTGTAGGGATATATATGGAAAATAAATGGACAATGAACAATGAACAATGAGCACTTGCAATTTCTTAAAACAATACAAATTAAATTGCCCATATTTGGTCATGATATAAAGGAAAGTTATTTCTTCACTTACAGGTAAACCATTCAGTCCTGTTAGTCCTGGTGCACCCTTTGGTCCTACATTTCCTTTTTCTCCAACAGGTCCATGTCTTCCTGGCAATCCTTGAGGTCCTTCACTACCAGGTTCCCCTTTCAGGCCTTTAGCACCCTTAATACCCATTTCACCATTCAAGATGGCAAGTCCTATATCTCCACGACTACCCTTCTGACTAGGTGGTCCCTGAAGCAGTGCAGAATGTATTCATAATTACACTGGAGGAAGAACAAACATATGTAATGAAACAATGCAATAACGTACCATGACATTTGTTTAGGTACCTGGCATGGAAAGATCATTTTAAAACCGCTGGTAACATTAAAATATTGAATTCATTATTCCAAAGATGCAAATAATTAATATTATAAGGCAAAAGTAGCTTTATATTCTGGCCACTATACACCTGAAGAAAGACTCCATGATACACATTGGTGGTAGGGCCACAGAGCATGGAGACACAGTAGTGAAGATAGAAACCTCTAGCCATACTCCAATTATCCAGCTATAAATGGATACTTTGACTCTTGTTCACGTTTAATGTGTCAAATTATATAATTAGATTCAGTGTAATGCTAAGTAAACCATCATTACAGCCCTCCTTTATTCAGAGTTAAAACAAAAATCTAGATTGTACAAATGAAAATCGATTTTGGCTCAGCTTAGTAAAAGTTACCAGAAACTACATTCTCAGAAAAATTAAATGGAAAATTTGAGCAACAGAAGACAGTAATTTTACCATTACACTACTAAGCCACCAAGTGCATTCTGTATGTAGCTACTGTAACATGCCACTGGACAGAGAGCCAGAATATTTATGGTAACTTACAGGAGGACCAGGTAGGCCATCCATGCCAGGTATTCCTGGTGGTCCTCGGAGTCCTTGATCTCCTGGCATCCCAGAATATCCTTTAAGTCCCTCAGGACCTGCAATGGATATGCCAGGTTGTCCTTTAGGACCTGGGAGGCCTGGCAGACCCATGTTTCCTGTAATACCTGAGCTTCCTTTGTTACCATCACGTCCTGTGAAGAGATTATTCCTTACAATTAATATGTTGCTGGACATTATCCATCATCTTGTTTGTTCTTAAAAAACCGTTTTTTAAGATCAGACAAGATGATGGATAATGTCCAGCAACATATTAATTGTAACAATTTACCATCATCACAAACTTTTAGAGATTATTCCTTGTTCTGTAACAATATTGTGACATGTTGCGCAAAGGAGAACCCCCCCACCAGCAGTGACGCGGCGGGTGAGTCAGCGCTCCCCTCCCCCTCCTCCGCACGGTAACGTAACGGTGACGCAACCGGATTGTAACGGTAGTAACAGCGGTTACTACCGCTAGCGTTGCTAGCAACACAGCGCCAGGCAACAAGGGTGCCTATTACGTGGCCGTATTGTCTGATCGAGGCTACATAAGGAGCAGCGAAGGCTATTCACAGTCAGTTGTACTGTGACAGTCGCCGAGTGCGTTATCAACGACTTCTCAGTTCGCAAGTTACGAGCTACAGCCGCGTGTGCGATAANTTGACAGTCTGTAATTAGTTTTATGATTATGGAAATGATTCTTATTTCCTAATAACTATTAACAACTAGTAACAGCCAAGTGGGAAGTATGGATTAATCTAAGCAGAACCTAGTCTAAACCCACTGGGAACTATTTCATTAAAAATTACTAGCCTCTAGTAAGTAAAATGAGAGAACAGGCTACGGAAAATCAAACCTCAGGTGGAATGACAGAAGTCAGTAACTGGCAGCAGGAAGCACAAGGAAAGGAGTTCTGAAAAATGTTAATTGAGGAGGCCAAGACCAAATTAGGGATGTAGAGCCAAGAAGAATAATAATAAGGAGGAGAAGGAGGAGGAGGAGGAGGAGAAGAAGAAGAAGAAGAAGAAGTAACTCACCTCGATCTCCTGTAGGTCCCTTGAAACCTTTTATTCCCTTGATTTCCATAATAAAGTGACCTGCATCTCCAGGTTCCCCCTGACCTCCAAGATCACCAGGCTCCCCTGGTTCACCCCTGTAACCCAACAGATAAACTCTTCATTATGGCTGGAAATCATTCAGTGAGATTAATTACTAAATTAACACTTAAAAATTAACAACTAACTTAACAAATGTTTTCTTTAGAAGTAAACAGTCAAGTAGCTCAACTCTGTAGGAACTTAAATAAAGCTCCACAAAATTATGTATGATTTAGAATATAGTATTTATTACTGGCTTTGCCAGGCCTCTAATATTTATTAATTTTGTGTTTAAATTATGATTGGAACTGAAGACCTATCACTTAACTTGGCAACTATATCCATCAGTCTTTGTCTGCACAAGATAATCAGAATACACCAGGAAAATATAAGAAGGTAAAGTTTCCCCCTTAATTAATTAATTAAGAACCAATCCATGAAGGTGCATGTGGGAGTGGAGGTATAATTCCACAATTCTTGACCTTGGTACTAGATGGAGGTGAGCAGTTAGCTGGATGCCTCTGCCACTTTACCCCTGGTACTCACTGGACAGGACGCTGAATGGGTCCCAGAGCTGGTCTTGGTGCTGTGGAGTAGAGAAAACTCTCTTGCTCCTGCTCGGAATCGAACCCCAGCGATCTAGCCCGTAGCCTGTGACTGTACTGACTTAGCTATCCCAACTTAGTCTCTGAACATACAAAGTGACATTATCCAGTCCCTGACAGAACACATACTTAGTGCCCTTGCAGGGGGAGGGAGAGAAGGCTGAAATGGTCTGTTAGTATGCAAATGGCTAAGCATGTGTCATAAAAGGGTAGTTAGTACATGTGGCTAAAAGCGGCCTCCGTAGTCTAGAGGTAATGTTCCCACCTCATGACTCATGGTACGCGGGTTCAAATACCCGGCGGAGGTCGTTGAATTTTTAAGGGTGGAAAAATTCAGGGAACAAGTCCTCCAGGAGGGACTTTGAGCTGTGTGTCCCGTGTCGTAACTTTACGGCACGTAAAAGAACCTCATATCCCCAAAGGGGATCACTGAGCCAAATTCCAGGACGTTTCCCGCCCAACAATATTCTCTAAGGCCTTCGATAGATGGGGGAAGCATTATAGACACCGCTAAGCAAGTGGCCGAACTCGCTTGCTCGGCGGGACTGATGGTACGCACCATTTATTGGTAGGGTACAGAGACTGGTAGAATATCACAGAGGGAAGCACAATAGATCAAACTGGTTGCGGTGCATGGGGAAACCCACCCTCTCTAAATAATAATAATAATAATATGTGGCTAAGCTTACCGGTAACCATCAAGTCCTGCATCTCCTCTGAGGAACTCCTTCGGGATCAGGACATCTTCACCTTTCTGGCCAGGATAGCCATCTGCACCTGGTCGTCCATTTCTTCCGGGAACTCCATCTGGGCCATGTTGACCCTGTTACAATCCAAATTTTTTATCGCTACTTTGTTTCCAAACAGTTTTCATTTATAGTCTCCCTTAAAAATAAGTACANATATAATTCAAAGTCAGATTTTGGGAACATAACTGGAAGGAAAACTCTACGGCATAGTTGAGCAAATATATGAAATGGGTCCCTTGTCATCATGGCATGAATCCTCTTTTGGTCATAGAGAGATGAGGTGTCCATGGCAGGGTATGTTGAAAAAGCAATGCATACTTTAGGCTTGGGTGTAGTGCTCCCAACACTTTACCATAAAAATAGTTCTACATCATGAAACTGATAACAAAGTCTCAAAGAATGGTGTACATGAAACTGGTGAAGTTTCTGTTGTGTATTTTACATACCTTTTCTCCTTTCCAACCTCGAAGTCCTTCTTGACCTGGAAGGCCTGGGGGTCCAGGGGGACCAATTGGTCCTTGAATTCCACGAAATCCTCTGTCACCTATTGATCCTTTGTCTGCCAATAACATGCTCAAGGGTGGATATATTAATTCGCCTGTCTGCCCTTTTGGACCTGGTGCACCCATAATACCTGCAGAGAAAAATATTCGTACTTTAATAGTACAAGAAAAAGATGTCAACACATAGACGGTGACTAATTCAACAGTTATTTTAATCTCATTACAGGGTCATTAATCGTTCTTTCTTTCATTCACTCATTCTTTTAGTAGTAAATCTCACGGCCATATGAATACATGTGTGTCCCAAGTATGTAGGTAGGCTAAAAGTAATGCACACATGCTTGTAGAGCGCAAACGAAATGACCTTCAGAAGCACGCCAGGTGGCATGTGGAAGTAACATTCCCCCTCAATACGCCTGCACAGGTTTGAGGTCGTTGCATTCATCCAGTGTATTTTGAGAAGCTAGTGCTATGTGAACACGAGTTAAACAGTGTGCTGTTATCGAATTTTTAACTGCTGAAAAAGTGACTCCTACTGAGATTCATCGTCGTTTAAAGGCTGTTTATGGTGACAATGCTGTTGATAGGTCTACTGTAAATCGATGGGTAATAAGATTTCGTGGTTGCGAGCCCAGAAAAGCCATAATTGTTGATGAAAAACGCAGCGGACGTCCGATCACTGTCACAGATGATAATCATCGCAAACTCGTCGACGATTTGATTAAAAATGACCGGCAAATTACTCAAAAGCGTTGAGTAAACCATATTGGAATATCCAAGGAACGTGTCGGCTTCATTATTGAACAATTGGGATACCATAAAATCTGTGCACGATGGGTACCATGCCGTCTCACAGACAAGAACAAACAGTGTCGATTGGAATGCTGCAAGCAACTTTTGCAGCACTACCGTGACAAAGGAGATGACTTTCTTTTGAATACTGTGACGGGGGACGAGTCATGGGCCCATCGTTACGACCCAGAAGAGAAAAGACAGAGCACTGAATATCGACATCCGTCTTTTCCTTGGGCAAAAAAGTTCAAAACACAACCATCCGCCAAAAAACTTCTTTTGACTGTGTTTTGGGATGCTCACCGAGTTTATGTGACCGATTTTCTGGAACGAGGGGCAACGGTTAATTCTTCTCAGTACATACAGACTCTAAAACACCTCCGGCGTCGAGTTTGTCGTGTTAGAGGCAGCCTGGCGCCAATAATCTTGCAACAAGACAACGCTCGTCCACACACCTCGCGCGCAACTGAAGAGGCTCTGCGAAACCTGAAGTTTGAACCGATTCCACACCCTCCTTATTCCCCCGATCTTGCGCCTTGCGATTTTTATTTTTTTCCTCTACTCAAGAGAGACCTCAAGGGTAATCATTACACCTCGGACGATGAGGTGAAGGCAGCTGTCAAGTCCTGGATTCGAGAAAAGTCGGAAGAATTTTTCAGTGATGGAATGAAAAAACTTGTTACACGTTGGGAGAAATGTGTTAGCCTTAACGGTGACTATGTTGAAAAATAAATATATGCTTTTGAAACTTAAGAATTGTAATATTATATTTAAGCATCCTGTTGGACTCTACATGATAAATGATATAAACTCCGTCCCAAGTGCAAACAATATATTATATGTCCTTGATCTTACTCTCCTTACACTACATGTTTCAGCCTCAAACGGCCATAATCAGGTGTATATATTGTCGCGTATCGGGCGTATATCACGACAAATAAATTCTCGATGTATTCGATATAGCGAATTTTATTTCACATTCGCACTTACAATCATCCAAATTACAGATTTACGATTACTGCTATCTGCAGTATCACAATTAGTACACTCCAAAGGCCAGAATACAACTGACTGGCTGACTCTACGTCTCGACTCGGCGGCTGTCACAGTACAACTGAAGTCGCCGACTGCTACAGTAGAACTCACTGGTAGCCACACTAGAACTCTACTCGTACCGGCACTGCAGCTCACTTATATAGCCGCAGGATTGCCTGTTACGTTCCACGTCACAGTAGGAAGCAGTTCCGCGTCACCGCGTGATGTCACCGCGGAGGGGAGTGGCGGGGCGGGCTTCGTTACCGTGCGGAGGAGGGGGAGGGGAGCGCTGACTCACCCGCCGCGTCACTGCTTGTGTGTGGGGGGGGGCTCGGCTCAGCGCAACATGTCACACTGCTCCCTCCTTAAGGCTGTTCGTCCCGAATAGCCTAACGGTGCATCCCCGTTCCTTTTCCGTCCCGTAGCTGTGCTTGCAGTGTCTCCTGTTGTTTCGGCTACTCTTCTTGAAGCGACTATTCTTCGTCTGTTACATCCGCTCCCTTCTTAAGATCGACTCGTCTCGAGCGGTTTCCTTTCAGCTCGCC